GGCGTCATTGTTCATTCTTACATAGGTTCTGCAGATGTGGTTCTTTGAATTTGCCAAATCTGGGGCTTACTTTTCATTGTCAGGATATGTTATGCATATAAAAGCGCAGAAGGCGAAGAAAATGTTAAAGGCGGTTGGTTCATGAAGTTCAATATTCTATGGATGTGACAAAGCATTCAATCTTTTTATATCTAAAACTCTTACAGATTCCTTTTGATAGGATATTATCAGAGTCAGATATACTTGATGCACTTTCAAATTCAGCGTTAGGCTCGTTGTTTTTGGTTGATGAAGATCCTTCCTTCCCTTAAGAGTTTTTTTGTCCAAAGGAGAAGTTTAGGTTTAAATGTTAGCACTCTCTCTGATCACCAGTGTTGACTTCATATGTTTCTTATGATAACAAAATATTCCTCATTTATTGGTGTCTAATTACATTATTTAAGTGTACAGGACAAAGTTTAAATCCCTAATAGAATTGTTGATTGAAAGGAAGTCAAGAAGCTTGTTATGTTACAAGAATGATAAATCAATTAAAAGAACCAAAAACAAAGGGCAAAGTAAAGTTAGAATAATGTTAACTGATTAACATAAAGTCTTAATCAGTTAAGGCTATTCAAGGCACTACATCAAAGGTAGGAAAAAAAGCCCCAATCAGCCCCAATCAGTTAGCACACGGCATAACTGATTAACTGATTAACAATATACTAAGTGCAAAACAGAAACTTTTTAATTTGTTAACAATATGAGTTAATGGGTTAAAGGTCATGCTTAATATTTCAATAAGCGCCAAATCCAAATTCAAAATGTTGATGATTGACCAAAAGCGCCAAACCAAGAGATTCAAAGTTAAAGAATTTTTAATAGGTTGAATCCCATTTTAATTACATAAGGATTGAAAGGAGAAAAGCTTTGATTAGTTAAAGGGATGAAAAATTAGTCAGAGGATGGTTGATGGAAAACATCTCTCAAAGAAGCCTGAAAATAAAAAGTTTTTAATCGGTTAAAGCCCTTTTTAACCGGTTAACACAATGAAGAATAATGAAGCAGACTCTTAAATAGAGAAGCCTTAATCGATTAAAGTCTATCCTTAATTAGTTAAAGAAGCATTGCCATTACATTTGAATTTAATCGTTAGAAGACAAAATAATATGTAGAAATTGCCTCCAATGGCAAAAAATTGTCTTTAATGGTCAAAATGTGTTTTCCAAGCATTTAAAACCTCTCCAATGGTTAAAAATTAAGAAAAAAAGTTTCAAAGAGTTTGAAAGACCTTAGAAGAGTAGAGACCTTCTCTTTTACAGTTGTATTCCTCTCTTATCTTTGTGAAAGTGTTTGAGTTGAAGTTCGTGCAACTTAGATTAGTTAAGTGATCATTTATTCTCATTTTATCTTTTATTTTTTGTTTACTTAGAGTGTATGAGACTCTTTAAGGAATAGTCAAAGCTATGGTAAGCTTAGGACTTGTTATAAAAGGGTTGGAGTTAAGGTGAAAAGCTCTTCTTGTAAAAGCTTGGTAGAAGCTGTTAATTCCACTAGTTCTAATGAAGTTAGGTTGAAAATCCTTGATTAGGATGATCGAGGTAATGAATATAGGTCAAGTGGACTGAACCATGATAAATATTGTGCTTTGTCTACTTCTCTTAACCTCTTTTTACTTAGTGTTTACTAACCTCAACAAGTTTTTAAACCATCTACTTAAATCTTCCAAATGGATTTTAAATTTCAATAACTACCCTCACAAATATTTTTAAGCTCTATTCACTCCAACTCTAGCAAGCCTTTTGGGACCAACAATCAGTCCCTTGCTTTAGGAGATGGTTCAGCATTTCCAAAATAGATGCTTAATCATTTAGCAAACATTAATAATGTATGCTTTCTGCTTCAGTTGAAGGGTGACTTTTATGAATATACTTTCACCGTGCTCGTATCTTTTTTTTTTTTAATCTTTTACCTTCAACACTTTTTCTTATAGAAAACAAAAGAATTATTAAGGAAAATAACTTAAACAAATCTAATATGAAAGAATGTCCATTATCTCTAGTAATCATTGCACTACAATTATAAGTTCATGTGTTGTTTGCTTTAGAATATGGAAGTTTAAGGTCACAAAAAGCCCTCAAAAAGGAAATGCCATTGAGTTGGGTCATTCTTCATGAAGAAAGATTTGATTATCACTTCTGAGACCCGTAGTTAAATTTGCTTGAAGTGCTATTGAGTCTTCACCACATAATATGCTGTATTTCTTTACACAATTTACCTTGTATGTATTCGAATATGCACTTAAGAGCATCATATATGTAACATATGGAAAATTTTTATTACTTCCAGGTGCTTGATATTGCTGCATCTTGGCTGGAAATGAGAAGAGAAGAACTTGCAAAATTAAGCTACAGAAATGCAGTCCAGTTGTTTTCTTATCAAGGTTCAAAAGTACCCTTGGAATGATAATTCAGTGTGTATCTTTTTCAGCATTGGGAACATGTTCTTGTACCATTTTGGGCATCTTGCAAATTTGAAAAACCTGAGTAACTGCTAATGTGTTTATTGAAAATCTTGTTCAATTTTGTGCATTTTGAGACTCCTAACATGTACTAAATCTTCACACGTAATTATGGCCATGTTTTCTCCCTCCACATTTTCATTTTTATTGACTTGTGGATTTATTTGGTGCACTTGAGATTGTTTTCTTCAAATTCAAATGAAATAATGCATTTGCAATTGCATAACCCACTCTCTAAGATGGCTTTTTTTTTTTAATGCCAAATGCAAGAACATTACTTGCATTAGAAATAACATTTTTTGCTATTGCATAAACTTATGACTGATGGGTTGACAAAAATAAAAATATCTCATAGTAAAGATTTTTCCATATTTTGTAATATGTATTATCTGTTAGGTATTTTGTTATTTTAGTCCATTTATAATTTAAAGAACTGATCTCTTAAAAATTAAATAAAATTTTATTACCTTTCCAAAAAAGAAAATCAATAGAAAAGACGATAATGGTTATTAACTAACTCTATGTTTCTATAAAATACATATCGTTGTATTCCATCGAAAATTAAAAGGATTTTTATTTCACTAATTAAGTTCATTTTGGATGGCAAAGGTCAACGATTTCTTATCCATGACTCACTCTCTGCTTCAATTCAATGCATGTTAGTACTACTTTTTTTGGTTTCTTCACAAAATATATAGCCTATCTCTAACCTTTAGACACAAAATTAATGTTTAGTTTAGTCCTACTCTTCAACCTTGTGCTGATTAATCAAAGGTGGCTTTTAATTTTCATTCCCTTTAGTATTCTAATTCATTGCAGATTTTGTTCATATCCTGAAAAGCAAACCAAACCAATCCTCAATATTGAAATCTTTAGCTTAGCTTACGTACATAATTTCCAATTTTATGATTTCTACTATGATGTACTGCTCTGAGGCCAAGGTATAGGGTTTGTTAAGAGGAAGATGAGAGGCTGCTGCTTATCCTTCTCTTCTCATCATACTTGCAATCCAAACCCTCTTCCTTTTTTAATATATCGTATTTTAATCTCTATGTAAATAAGAACTAACATATCCTTGAAGTATAAGTATGGCCGATCCCCCAAATTTTCCATTGGAGGTCAGGTTCTGGTTTCTACCACCTTTTGACTTTTTTACTTTATCAGTTCTTTCTGGTAAAGTGTAAAAAGAGTGCTTTAGTGTATTCTTAGAACTACATGAAGCCTAGGCCTTTTTGCTATCATATTTCTAACTTGGATATCGAAAGTAATGTAGCATGATTAAGCAGCCATGATCAGCATCTTCAGTAAAATGCTTTCAAACATTCATATTAAGGGTATCAATAGAAAAGATCTACATATTGACCACGAGCTGAATTTGGGTTTGTTACAGTATAAGGTAAAACTAGATGGTAAATTGACTACTGTACAAATTTTAATCCATTGATCTACATGACGTAGATTAAGTTTCTATATTATCAGCGTCCCAATAGTAATATCATTAGACAAAATTTTTGCAACATCTGAAAAATAATTACGTATAAATAAAATGCATCAAATGGTAAGAACCAGTTGTTCATCCAATCTTTTATTCATAATGTTTATGTCACAAATTCTAAAGTACTTGTTGTAGTTTTCATGCTCTTTTCATGATGAAATATAATTCACTTATTGGATTCATATTTAAGCAAATGGCTCATATATATTTGATGTCATACGACATGCTAATGAGAAGGTCTATAACTTTTTTGAATGTGCTACAAATGCTTTGCAAAGATTAATTTTCAGTGATGTATTAAATATGTTTAATACATTATCTCTTTAAATAATCGATGAAAGATATTTTATAAAATGATTTTGATAAACCTATTGCTCGTATTTATATGCAAGAAAAAAACTGAACTGGCTTACGATCGCTTAGTTACATTTTATGTTGATTTGGCTTTTTTTTTTAGCTCCATTAGATATAATTTTATTCAATATCAACGACAAATACAAAATTTGATAAACAAAAGGAGATTAGATGGAAGCTTACAACAAAACACCACAAGGAGAGAACTGAAACAACACTCAACAACATAAACCATAGAAAACAAAAATTTGAACAACAACCAACACCCAAACAAGATAGTTGTTTGTAGTAATTTAAAACTCAGGATATGTGATTTGACTTTGTTTTACTCTTTTTACTGGATGCAGTAGAAGTTTTGATTGTAAAGCAGATATTAATCTTTAATTTTTCTGCAAATAAGTGTACATGGATAGTCTAATAATTGGATACTGAAAATTTGAAATAGAGAGAATATTGATATCAACTGATATGAAGATAATAATCATGATAATTGAATCCTTACATTAGATTCAAGGGGTGATTAAGAACAAGAAAAGAAAATGTAAATAACTAAAAATAGAACATAAAAACATGCAGCAAGAACATCCCTTAGACATAACAATTAACACAAGAAGACAAACATTAAAACTACGACACACAAAGCTGTTTTTCCTAAGGGAAAAAAGCATTGGGGTTGTTATCCCCAAATGAAAGCATTGAATCAAGTCCCATGTCCTCTGGTGAGTGCATGAGGTCCTTGATCAACTGTTGCCTCTGCTCTGTTTCCGGGCTGACCCCACGCTCTGGACTTTTTACCTCCACCTTCTCTCCACTATTCAGCATCGCTTCTGGTGTTGCCATTGTTGCTGATGCTGCTGTTGCGTACCCTTGGGATTGAGACGCTTGGGGAAACATAGAAATCCTCCTATCAATATCCTTTAGGTTTTGCTCGAGCAACCACCCAAGGTCATTCAAATCCATCATGTTCAAATTCTCTAAACCTTGTCCGGCCAGGCATTGGAACATGACTTGTGTGATCTCCTTCTCGCGATTGTCCCTGCACTGCTTCTTGAGCCGTTTGTTGGCTAGTTCGATCCTTTGCCTGAGGAAGCTCTTTTGGCTCATCATCCCCATGCTTTGATCCTTCTTAGGCATCTTTTTAAAGTCCGAGAGCACTTGTTGGGCTCTTGCAGGGGATGGCCAAACCTCAGGTTGAGCGTCATAAGGACTATAGATAATCACTGAAGCTTCTATCCCACAGAGGGTACTTAGTTCGCTCGCCTTCTTCAACAGACCCTTTTTTCTTTTCCCGAAGGTAGCTTTCCTTGCAGAATCTATGGTGATGTAGGAAATCTTCACCTTACTGCTAGTCATGGCTACCTAGAGAGCAAAGAATTGGAATTGAAAGCTTTTTATGCACTTCCTACCCAAACAGCCTATGCTATATATAGAGAAGAAGAGATTCCATTGTTCTTATCACAAAATTATAGTGGTGTTGGTCCTTATGGTATATAGTAATATGGACTTAAAAGGAAAGAAAAAACTATCAGGGCACCCTTTGAATTTCGTCAGAAAATACAAATCTAGTCTTTTATTTGAAGAGGATTGATGAAAACATTGGCAAAATATCTTTATGGAGGGAGTGAAAATTTGCTCAAAGGATATGAAGAGATCTCGGTCTAAGGATATCACAACTGTAATTTGACAAACAAAATTCAATTGGATGAACGTTTCTCTTACCTAAGACATGATGATTCTTGTTTCCATGATAGGATCTTGCATGAATCATCAAATGCTTTGTAGTCTTATTCATCCATTCATACACATTTGGTATGTTGTTTTTGCTATTGCTGATTTTGGTAATTACAGATCACACATTTAATTGTGGTAATTAAAAAAGGATAAGCAGATCTATAATGTCAATCCCATTGAGTAAATAGATGCTTTTGTTCTGACAGGAATTATACAAAGACAAATGTTTGATTGTTCATTATGTTATCAATAGGATGATTTAAGGAGAAATAATTCGTGTTATAATTTGATATGATTGTACACGGCGTTTAGGAAGTTTTGATTCCATAGTCAGTTTTGGGATGTAACTAGCATCAAAGAGTTAAGTTAGAGTTCCGTCATTAATTTTAACAAGAGTACTCCAATCCATTTGATTTAGATTTCTAATTTATAGCACGTCTAAGGAATAGTTAGATTATTCATATATAACATTGGATAAGAATTAATTGATAGATAATACTTATTTAGTATGTTTTCTTTTTATCCTGATTTAAATAAATTTTTATTTTTAATTTCAAAAAGTAAAAGGTAAATTTGAAATGTAGAAAAAGTTTTTTTTTTTTAAAAAAAAGGGTTAAAAATGATATAATTTTGAAACTTTCAAAGATACATAACTTGTATGTAGCATATTCTTATTACAATTTTTGCAACTTAATTAGTCTAATAAATTAATAAGGAATGTGAGCTGAATAATAAGGAATGTAATGTGGTGTATTTTTTTCTTAAAATGGTAAGAAGATGGGTGTTTAGATTTTTGTATAACCAAAATATATTTTGCTCTTTCTTAATTTAAACCAATAAATTATTTTTGTGTTTGCATTATGTAGGCAGACAGGGTTTTTGTTATAGTAAACTGTAACAAAGTTGAGTTATTTTGTTCAAGTTTATTTGGCTAAATTTTTAAATAACCCCCTAAACTATATTAAAAAAGTCAATTAAGGTCATGCTAGTATTTAAATCTACTGAATTTTCATAGCTTCATATTTAAACATTGTCAATGTGTTGTGGGGTTTATTATTTTTATACCCATGGTTATTGGTATTGTGGCTTTCAATTGACTTTAGCATTCATGTTATCTAGCTATTTGTTTACTGATGTACCTGTAATCTACTATAGCCATCACTATATACATGTTTTCTTACCAAGATGTATTTATTTCCCTGATGGCGCCATTCTTCACTCTTACCTAGTTTTTGCAGAAATGTTTCCAGAGTTTGCCAAATCTGGTGCTTACGTTTCACTGTTAGAATATGTTATGCCTATGAAAACACATAAGGCCAAGAAAACGCTAAAGGCGGTTAGTTCATCCGATTCATTATTCTATGGATGTGACAAAGCATTTGGTCTTTTTATATTTGAAACTTCTACAGATTCCTTCTGAAAGGATATTATTAGAGTTAGAGGTGCCTGATGCACTTCCAAATTCAGATTTGGGCTCATTGTTTTTGGTTGATGAAGATCCTTCCCTCCCTCGAGAGTTTTTTGTCCCAGGAGAAATTTAGCTTTAAATGTTAGCACTCACTTTAATTATCAGTGTTGACTCTATTTATTTTTTATAATTACAAAACATTCCTCATTCATTGACATCTAATTACATTATTAGAGTGTTCAAGACAAATTTTAAATCTCTTAATACAATGGTTGGTTGAAAGCAAATGAAGAAGCTTGCTGTGTTACAGGAATAGTTAACCAGTTAAAAGAGCAAAGAACAAAGGGCTAAGTAAAGTTAGAATAATGTTAACTGATTAACATAGAGCCTTAATCAATTAAGGCTATTGAGGGCATTACATTGAAAGAAGATAGAAAAGCCTTAATCAGTTAGCCCAAGGCATAATTAATTAATAAAATACTATGTGCAAAATAGAAGCTTTTTAATTGGTTAACCAAAAGAGTTAATTGGTTAAAAGTCAAGCTTGAAGTTTCAATAAGTGCCAAATCCAAATTCAAAATGTTGATGACCGTTGAAAGGTGCCAAACCATGAGATTCATAGCTGAAGAATTTTAATACATTGGATTCTATTTTAATCAGTTAAGGATCGAAAGGAGAAAAGCTTCGATTAGTTAAAAAGAGGACAAATTTGTTAAAAGATGGCTGATGGAAAACGTTCTCCAAAGAAGTCTAAAAACAGAAAGTTTTTAATTAGTTAAAGCTCCCTTTAATTGATTAACATAATGAGGCAGACTCTTAAATAGAGAAACCTTAATCGGTTAAAGCTTATCTTTAATCAATTAAAGAAACAATACTAACACATTTGAATTTAATTACTAGAAGACAAAATAACGAGTAAAAACTACCTTTAACTACTAGAAACTGTTTTTAATTGTTAGAATGTGTCTTCCAAGTATTTAAAGCCTTTTTAACGATCAAAAATTAAGAAGAGAAGTTCCAAAGTGTTTGAAAAAGCTTATAAGAGCAGAAACCTTCTCTTTTATACTTGTATTTCACTCTTATCTAGATGAAAGTGTTTGAGTTGAAGTTTATACAACTTAGGTTAGTTAGGTGATCATTTGTACCTTTTTTTATTTTCTATTTTTTGTTTACTTGAAGTGTGTGAGACACTTTAAAGGATAGTCTAACTCAGGGTAAGCTTAGGACCTATTGTACAAGGGTTAGAGCTTGGGTTAGAAGGTTACTTTACAAAAGTTTGGTGGAAGCTGTTAATTACACTAGTTATAAAGAAAGTTGTGTTAAAAATACTTGATTGGGAAGATCATGAAAATGGATGTAGGTCAGGTGGATCGAAGCACTATAAATATCATATTTTGTCTACTTTTTTTAATCTCTCTTTACTTGTTTTTTACTAACCTTAACAAGTTTTCAAACCATCCATCTTAAATCTTCCTAATGGATTTTAAATTTCAATATCTACCCTCAAAAATATTTTTAAGTGTTATTCACCTCAATGTAGCATGCCTTTTGGAACCAACAATCAGTCCCTTGCTTCAAAAGATGCTTTAGCATTGTAAAAAGAGATGCTTAGTCGCTTAAAAAGCATTAATAATGTATGCTTCTCTGTAGCAATTTAAAACTAAGGATACGTGATTTGACTCTGTTTTATTCTTTTGTACTGGATGGATGTAGTACAAGTTTTGACTGTAAAGTTGACATTAATCTATTTTTTTTCTACAAATGTGCCTATTGGACAGCCTAATAATTGGATATTAAGAATTTGAAATGGAGAGAATAACGATATCAATTGATATGAAGACAACAATCATGATGATTGAATTCTAAGGAATTTATTTAGGTACATTGGATTCAAGGGGTAATTGTGAGCAAGAAAAGGAAATGTAAATAACTTAAATTAGAACATAAAACATGCAATAAGAACATCTCTTAGACATAACAATTAACACATGCAGACAAACACTGGAACTATGACACACATAATTGTTTTCCCTAAGGGAAAAATGCAATCGGGGTTGTTATCCTCAAATGGGAGCACCGAACCGAGTCCCACATCCTTGGTGAGTGCATCAGGTCCTTGATCAACTGTTGCCTCAAATGGGGCTGTTTCCGGGCTCATCTCGCGCTCTGGACTCTCTGCCTGCACCTTCTCTCTAGTCTTCAACATCGCTTTTGGATTTGCCATTGTTACTAATGCTATTGTTGTTGTTGCGGACCCTTGGGAGTGAGACACCTTGGTAAGCGTATCAATCCTTTTGTCAATATCCTTTAGGTTTTGCTCTAGCAACCACCCAAGGTCATTCAAATCCATCATGTTCAAATTCTCTAACCCTTGTCCAACCAGGTATTGGAACATGGCTTGTGTGCTCTCCTTCTTGCGATTGTCCCTGCATTATCTCTGAAGTTGTTTGTTGTCTTTTGCGATCCTTTGCCTCAGGAAGCTCTCTTGGCTCATCATATCCATGCTTTGATTCATCTTAGGCATTTTTTTAAACTCCGAGAGCACGCGTTGGGCTCCTGCAGGGAATGGCCAAACCTCAAGTTGAGTGTCAGAAAGACTGTAGATAATCACAGAAGCTTCTATCCCACAGAGGGTACTCAGTTTGGTCACCTTCTTCAACAGACCCTTCTTTCTTTTCTTGAAGGTAGCTTTCCTTGCAGAATCTTTGGTGATGTAGGAAAGCGTCACCTTCTTTCTAGTCATGGCTGCCTAGAAAGCGGAGAATTGGAATCGAAAGCTTTTTATGTACTTCTTACCCAAACAACCTATGCCATATATAGAGATGAAGGGATTCCATTGTTCTTATTGCAAGATTATAGTGGTGTAGGTCCTTGTTGTACATAGTAATGGTGACTTAAAATGAAAGGGAAAACTATGAGGGCACCCCCTGAATTTCATCAAAAAATACAAATCTAGTCTTTTATTTGAAGTGGATTGATGCAAACATTGACAAAATATCTTTGTGGAGGTTGTGAAAATTTGCTTAAAGGATATGAAGAGATCTCAATCTATGGATATCAAAGCTGCAATTTGACAAACAAAATTCAATTGGATGAGGGCTTCTCCTACCTAAGACATGATGGTTTTTGTTTCCATGATAGGATCCAGCATGAATCTAAAATGCTTTATTGTCTCATTCATCCATTCATACACATTTGGTATTTTTTTTTTATTGCTAAATTTGGTAACTACAGATCACACATTTAAGTGTGGTAATTGAAAAAAGATAGGAAGAGCTATAATGTCAATCCCATAGAGTAAAAAGATGGTCTTGTTCAGACAGCAATTATACTCCACGAATGTTTAATTGTTCCTATCAATAGGATGATTTAAGGAGAGATTATTCACAATTTAATTTAATATGTGTACGTGGTGCTTAGGAAATTTTGATCCCATGGTTAGTTTTGGGATTTAACAAGTATGAAAGAGTTAACTTAGAGTTTCATCATTAGTTTAAACAATATTAGTCCGTTCTATCTGATTTAGATGCCTCATTTGTAGCACGTTTAAGGATAGCGTAGATTATTAATATATAACATTAGATAAGAATTAATTGATAGATAATATTGTTTTCGAATGTTTTCTTTTTATCCTCATTTAAATAATTTTTTATTTTTTATTTCAAAAAGTAAAAACTAAATTTGAAATGTGGAAAAAGTTTTACTTTAAAAAAAAAAAAGAGTTAAAAATGATATAATTTTGAAACATTCAAAGATATATAAATAATATGTAGCATATTCTAATTACAATTTTTGCAACTTAATTATTCTAATATATTAATAAGGAATGTAAGGTGGTGTATTTTTTATGTGGCCAGACACTTTAACATTTCTTGTCGCTTTGATTGAATTTGGAAGAATTCCAATTGAGCATTCTAACGTTATAGAATTGGAACGTTTTCATCTTTAGCTTAGCAAATAATAATACAAAAGAATCATAAGGATTCTTTGTTTATGCCCTTTTTTTTTGCTTCTGGTTTGTGTTCATTCATTGACTCTATATAAATTTTTTGTGAGCCGTCACATAATTCATAGTCTCGAAAATTATAGAATTGTAATAGAAAGAATTATAACTTATATCTTATCCTCTCCCCTATAAGCGCTGACTATTTCTTTTAAATTTTTTTTTTCGACTTCATCTGTTTTTATTCTTTATTAAACAAAGTTGACTTCTCTTCTTTACACAAACTTTTAAAATTCTTTGCTTTCCTTCCCATAGGATTAGGCCTATTTTAAAAGAACATTAATATTAAATAAACATTATAAACACCCAAGAAGAAATTGACAACATAACTTGAGAATGCATATTTTATAAAATTAATTGTGTGTGTTGTGTGTGTGCATATATATTATTCTCCAATTTAATGATAATATTATTTGATTTGTAAAAGTAAAAAAAGAACAATTTTACTTATGGAATTTAGAATTTTTAATGATTAACTTTGGGAAAAGTTAAAATATTTGAACATTTATTATGAATTAAAGATAAACGTGAACACTAATCAATTGTAAAGATAAACGTTGGGATAAATGTTTACCTTGAGATCCAACAACATTTCAAGTTATTCTAATTGAATCCTGCACATAACTACCTAGTATTTAAGGAATTTTCTAATTAATCATTAGTGTTTAGTCCGTGCATTGCGTTTGGGTAAATCTATTATATTTAATAAAATAGTAAGATTTTGTGATGCAATGATGAAAGATTGTATGCTATATTAAGTACATACATAGTTGTTGGTGCAATTTGTTTAAGAATAGACTTTGTGGCTGTTAGAATAATTGCATTATAAAACATACTGTGACACTTTTGCATCATGGCTAGTTTACAAAAAATTGAAGTCTCTTCCCAACAGTCATATTTTCAGCAATATACTAAACGCAACCCTAGTGTTTGTTGATATAAAATTTAGCATTAATATTTTCAAAAAAAAAAAAAGGAACTCCACTTTCCCTTTTTTTTTTTTCGTTTTCTCATTTTTCTTTATATTTTCTCACCATCCTCCTTGCACCCATCTTTTCCAACAAATATTGGCTTAAAGAAAAGTAGAAGAAGAAGAAGAAAAAAAATAAAATAGGAAGAAGAAAGTAGAAGAAGTCGGGATAATTAGGAAAAAAATTTTAACTTTCCCTTTGTTGAAGGAAAGCAACATTCCCTCTGTGAGTTAATGGAATGACATTTCCTTAGCGGATTGTAATGACTTTTCCTTTGTAATGAAAATAAAGTAGACTACATTTCTTGTAATTTAAAATGATTGCAATAACTTTACAGCGATTAGTTTGTAATAATGATTGTACTTAAGAAAAAGTGAGAATCTTAACTAAAACATTTAAATCTTATCACAAATGGTCTCCAACTAACAATGTTTAAACAATAAATGAATAAAACAAACCAATATTTCATAATAATAAACACACAAATCTTGACCACTATTTAACAATTTAACAATACATAAGATAGAAGACAAATAGAATAAATATTAAATATAATGAAAATAAAAGTAAAAATGAATATATACTGAACAATTGCAGTGAATTTTCCATGCATGCTATCACTTAAAAACGAAATAAAACTAATTTAAAACAAAGTACATAAATCAATAATAAAAAAAGATTAATAAAGAAAAAGATGTCACTTTACACTAATTTCATGTTTGGTACAGCTACGCTATCCCCTATCTATTCCCATGTTTTTTTTTTACCTCATTTGGTAAACAATTGTCTAAAGGAATAGCTGTTCTTTAATATTAACTATTTTTTAAAAATAGTTAAAACTCAAGCTTAACTAAACTTGAGCCCCTCATGGTATTTGTTATTCCATGATGGGGAACAACAAAACAATTTGATAAGATTAAAATATCATTTATAACTATGAAATATTACAATGATAGACGTATAAATACTTCTTTTCTTTTCACTTTCCCTTTTTCTTTCTCTCTCTTCGCATATTCTTGCCTCTATCGTTCTCTCCTTAACTTGCACTCATCATTAGAGATGACCATGGTAGCGACAAATGGCTGCGACAACGGTAGTTCCACAACTGAATATAGTTGACAAGCGTCGATCTAGTGCTTTTCAGCAAGATTCAACTAAAGAGTTGTTGGATCTATGACCTGGTCTGGTAGTAGGAAGTACCAGATCTAGTGCTTCCAGACCAGATCCCATGGTCGCATCTGGCACTCCACGACCAGATCTGGTCACAGGAAACGCCGATCTAGCACTTTAGTGACTAGATCCAACCATATGGTACTATAAATCGATGTTTCATTATACTGGCCACGTTTCTAGTGGTCAGACCATGGAGAAGAAGAAAGGAAAAAGAACAAAATTTTAAAATAAAAAAGTTAAAATTTTATTTATAAATTATAAAATATTTATGTTTATCTTATTAAATTATTAATATATTAAATTTTTAATGAAAGTGTAAATAAAAAATAAAGAACGCAAATAGGGAAAAAAATTATACTAATATTTTAATAATAAACTATTAAATTTTAAATTTTTAAAATTTTAATAAAAATAAAAATTCAATAATTAAAAAAGAAAAATTTTGCTTATGTTTGTCTTTTGGTATAAATTTTACTAAATTATGTAAAAGGTATCTTTTTTGTTTTAAAAAATAAATATTATTATAATAAAAAGTTTTAGTTTTTAATTACATATTATAAAAATTAATATTTTAAATTTGGAAATTAATTAAAATTATTAATATTTTAATAATAATAATATTAAATTATAAATAAAATATTAGATTTTAAAATATTAATGATTAAAATATAATAAAATATTAATATTTAAATTATTAATTATTAAAAGCTTAATTAAATTATTAATATTTAATATTTAAAAAATAAAATAAAAATAAATAATCATATATATAATAAAAAATATTTTTATCTTTTTATTCCTTTCTTATTCTAAAGTTATTGTCATTATCCAAACACCACAATAAATCATAATAATTATTCTTATCCTATTTCATTCATTGTACCAAACTACGTAATAACTGTTTTATTTTATTCTCACCTCATTTTATTTTTATATAATAATTATTTTATTCTATTTTTATATATTCTACGAACCAAACATAACTTAAGTAATTTTGAACTTTTCCAACTTTCAACAAAAAGCAAAGTAGATAATCACTATAAAAAAAGCAATTAATGTTAAAAAAGGACAAATAATTTAAATCCAACCTGTCATAAATAATGAAAGGCCAATTTGCTATTTAAACCATAAAAATAATTTAGATGCACCCATAATATTTAATTTTTAGAAACTCTAAGTGGAGGAAAATAAAAGTATTCACGCAAGTAATGTCTGAAAATTATACCCATTTTACTCACAAACAAACAAAAATATAAAACATAAAGAAAAAAGCCACCAAAAAATTAATAAACAAAACGATGAGAGAAAAAGAAGAGGAAAAAAAACCAAATAAAGAAAACGACCTTGAAAAAATCAGAGCACAGCAAAAATAGGAAAAAGAAACGAAGAAAAAATGGAAAGAAAAGAAAAGAAAAGATAGAAGACAAACAAAAAAAATAAAAGAAAGAATAAAGCTTTTGGAAGATATGAAACAACCAAAATTACCAAAATGTGTCCAATTAAAATAGAGTAATTCGAAAAAACCCATAAAAGAACAAAAGGAAATAGAAGAAAAAGATCAAAGCAGCCATACAAAATGAGACGAAGACAAAGTAATGCAAACAAAAACATGCGGACTACCCGTACTTCAGGGGGTCTCCTCTGAAAAGATAAAACAACCTTAGGCTTCAAGGGACGCAACTAGTAAAATCCATAAAAAACAACAGCAATGCTGCAACGTGGTTTCCAATTGAGTGGACCACGTACTTTTCAATTCGCCGTGTTACATGGTAAGCAATTAACCCCATTCAGAAACTTTTTATACATAGGTATAGATAGGGGAAGAAACCATTACTTAAGAGAACATTTCAATAAATAAATAAGAAATCAATGAATTAAATAAAATATGCAGTAAATCTATCCTTCTGACTTATTGCATTTGTAGAATCTTTAAACTTATTATATCAATAAAATAAAATAAATTAAGTAAAATTCTACATGATTAACTTGTTTATATATATACTTATATATCAAGACAACCTGGAAACATCAATTGATGACTTGGATTCTACATCGTTGTTCTCAAGCTATTTTTTCACTGGTTCCTCCATCTTTTGACTTTGTAACATATCAGAAATGAAAGACCTCAGCATCAAAATTCTCTACATTTCTCTAGCTGTTTTCTCAATTATTTCAAGTGAAACAAACTTGAAATCCATGGCCATGAAGATGAAGTTGTTTGATGCACATTGTCACCTTCAAGATCAAAGGATCATAGACAAGGCTCCCCAACTTATTGCAACAGCCTATGGAGCTGGGGTTGTTTACTTTGCTGTCAATGGAATAACAGAGGTACGCAGGGCTAAATACTCATAGTTGGTCGCAGCAATCTTTTCGTTGGCTTTGAACTTCTCATAAGAAAACTAATTTCCTTGACTTTTAATCATCATCATAGTAGGAGTAAAAGTCTTGATCCTGATCTGACACACTCAATGTTACAACTTCAATTCAAACATGAAAATTTCGAGTTTTGAAATTATAAGATGGGAAGCGGCTATATGTAGTTATCTAATCCAAAATCTTATGTATGCAAAAGAGTTACAGCTAGTCTTGGTTTTTCTTTTTTTTTTCTTTTTTGGTCGGCAGAAAGATTGGCATTTGGTGAAAGAAATGAGTGATGAGTATTACTCTGTGATTCCAAACTTTGGGCTCCACCCTTGGTATGTTAAGTGAATAAACTAGAATAATTATTCTTAGGGTATTTTTGCTTTTTTGGTGAGTTTATTTCTCTTTTGTTGGGGTCCTTGCTTTTGCAGGTTTGTTCAAGGAAAGAGTCCCTCTTGGTTCAGCACTCTGAAGGAGTTCTTTGAAGCTAATCCCTCAGCTGCTGTTGGGGAGGTGCTCCACACATTTACCATCTTCTTTAAGCTAGCTTCTGACTCATATACATAATAATACACCTTCAACCTTTTTTCTTATACTCTACCCTTTCTCATGTTCTTTACCCCCCACAAGCTGGATTAAGGGGAAAAAATGTTGCATTCTTAAATCAGCATAAAAGTTCAACTTACAAGCATAAAATTTGATGCCACCCCCACTCCCTTTTTTTGTTTACTAGTTTAATCTTAATGAATTTACATTTTAATTTTAAACTTAAAATTGAATTATTTCCCTCTTTATTTTTAATAAAGTATATGAAAGAGATCATAAATGAAGAAATCTGAGATTAAAAGATAATAGATAGTATATGACTGTCAAATAGTAGATAGTATAAAACCTGAAGAAGTCAATTAAGTTAATAGGATTAAGTTCGGTAAAATTGATATGCTAATGTGGGTTGAGATTCTCTTACCATCCATTTGACCACTATATTAGATCTAATCATAAATTGATCTCAATTCTCACTCATGAACAATTTTTATAAGTGCCCTGAAAATTATAAAAAATATTAATAGATGGAAGCCTAAAGCCACACTTGTCTCCTTTTCTTTTAGAAACTATTCATAATAACTTTCTACATTTTACATTAGAATTGATTGAGGAATGTAGAAAGGATATATTACATTAGATCTTTATGCTTGAAAAAATTTGTAGTTATAAAGGATACCAGGATATGTCCCTAACATAAATGCTATACATTTTATTTTCAGATTGGTTTGGACAAAAGCCCACTGGCGCCCAAGGGGGTTGACTTTGCGGATCAGGTCCTGATATTGATGATCCTCTTCCACTTGGGTTGTTTGTTATTTTATATTCATTTTGTTTTGGGACCTTGTTAAGACAATTTCCATGTTTAAAGATAATTTCTTAATCTTCCTCCAGGTTGAAGTGTTCAAGAAACAGATTGAACTTGCCAAAGAGTTGAAAAGACCAGCAAGTGTGCATTGTCTTGATGCTTTTCCTGAGCTTCTTCGGATAATGAAGTATGATTATTGTTTCAGATATTCCATTTTTCTCAGACAGGGATCACATTGATTCTATTTTACTCTTGTTTTTCTAGCTTTCAAACATCCTTTAATGGGTTTAATTTTTTTCTTTTCCTTTTGTTCCTTCTATTTTTCTTACTATATTGGATGTTAATGTTTTATTCTGACAGAGATATAGGACCTTTTCCATCTGGTGTTATTCTCCATTCTTTCCAAGGTCCTCCAGAGGTAGTACCTGAACTTACGAAGCTTGGTTCCTACTTTTCATTCTCCGGACATTTAATGCCCTTGCAAGAAAACAAGGCCAGAAAAGTTGTCAAGGCGGTTAGTTTTATCAATTTCATTGTGTTTTCATGCCAAAATATTTGTCAGAATACAACTATTCTTACTTGTAAAACTCTTATAACTATAGGTACCTTTGGATAGAATCTTATTGGAAACGGATGCACCTGATGGGCTACCCAAAAACCCTCTTTTTCTGGTTCCTGGAAATGAGACACTAAATCAGCCAGCAAATGTTCATAGTGTATGTCTTCTTCTCTTTACCTTGCTCTCTGTCTTTGCCCTGGTTGCTTAATAATTACACGGTTTGAAATTTTACTATCTCGAGATCTCCAATTTGTGTAAAAGGGCAATTACTTCGGTCTTATTCGCATGGTATTTGGGGGCCGGTGAAGTACAACCGTTAAGCCATATGTGTGTTCTTTGTATAGCATCTTGGTAAATAAGCGGGCTTGCTTCTTTCTACTGTTAGGATCGCTTTAACTTCTTAAGTTTGTATTCGTTTCATAATCACTAACTACTAATTATTAATTACACTCAACACAAAAATCTATAGATTTCACTATATTTACTCTCAGCAAAATATAGAAAATTTAGATTAAAATTAGCTAGAGAAGCCTTTAAATTGGTCATCTAAGAAGTTAATTTAAGACTAAATATATTGTATTTGTGATGAGATAGGAGGGTGAAGGAGCGATTTTGGTGATTAAATTTGTTTAATATAAGTTTGTAATTTGATATGAAAAATAATTTGGATTCGATTTTTCTGAAATTTAGAAAACAGAGTTTTTCTTACTATATATTTCACCGGAAATGATTAGTAAATCAGTCAATCAGTTGGAAATCTCATTGGAATTTTCTGACCAAAATTTTCCTAGTGTTCTGACCTAATTGATTGAACTTGTTTTGAGTTACACGATTTTGCTCAATGCTAGTTTTAGTATACATCTTCCTACATGATTGAAATGTTATTTTCATATGTATATGCTTGGCGTATACATGCACGTATGATTCAAGAAATGTACTCAAAACCTTTGTGTGCTATATCTGTGCATGGTTTGGTATGTTGAGTGAATTAACTTCAATGGCTTGGTTTGCAGGTACTGATTTATGTTGCATCTTTACTAGAAATGAGTAAAGAAGAACTCGCAGAAATAAGTTACAAGAATGCAGTTCGCTTATTCTCTTTCCAAGGTTCAAAAGTTCTCCTGGAATGATCATCATTTCCTGGTGTTGGGATAAACTGCAATATCATTATTTAACTAATAAATGTACGAAATTCCACTCCATCCTTCTTTTTTTTTTTTGAAAATCTTGGTTTTGATATTCGATGAATGACTATTCCGTGAACCAAATGTCAAAATAAAAGAACAATAATCATTCCACTAAGCAAATGTCAGTTTGACACCTGAACCTGACGGTTGAAATAAGCTGTCAATTACTTAATTTCTCTTACATAAATACCAGATGAAGCAGGCAGGATTTGGCAACTTGGAGTTTTGACTTCTGCTAGGATTTCAGAATCCCAGTGAACCCAAAGTACTTAGCAGCATCATGAGACTAGGTTGGCAATGCTGCATCTCAGGTATAGATAACAGAACCAGAAGGAAGTGACATCAATATTTCAGTCTCAAAATGACATTTAAGCTTTTATTGTTGGCCGATTCACTATTGAACAACACTAGTTTCCTGCAACTGTTTCATTGGATGCTTCAACAAACTGCCATTCCAAGTCAGATGATTTCCAAATGGTTCAACTGGTCAATGTAATTCTAATCTTCAATGGAATATTCCTCCTTCAGCTGCTTTTTCATGTCCTTGTTGCTCTTTTTGGCTTCTGAGGGCAGAGGTGCTGCTGCAACAGGGTCTTCAAAGTAAAACTTTGGTAGCACTGAGGGAGGAACTTTAACCCCTCTGACACTGTATCATTCAGTACATAATTTCAAAATTTGATGCTGCGAGTTCTTCAGAATGAAAGAACCGCTCAAATGCACCAACAGGTCCAAGACTTGCCACTTTAAGTGCTATGTTAGTTCCAATGTCAACTAAAACAGATCCCCTGCCACTGAAAGGCTAGTCAATAAGCATAAGCTCTAATCACGCTCTAGGAGAAGCTCTTCCCTACACTTCTTGTGTTAGCCTGTATATGCCTAACTTAAAAACTATGGAAACATAATTTACAAAGGAACCTCTGTTCTGTCATCTAACTCTGAATCCATATCCAAATCCTTCTCCACCTTTTCTTGCTTAATAAACCAATTATTAATCCGGCTATTCTTCAAAATCCTACCTGATTCTTTTACCAATCGAATGTATTTCTTCCGCATTCCCAACAATGGATGCCTCTCGATATTAGACTTACCACAAAATGCCTCCTTAAGAATTGCAGTACAAGTCTTGTTCTTAAAAGATAAATAAAACATGAGGATGCCTTTCAAATGCTTTATGGAATTTCTGTGGCAACCCAAAATATTTCTTAAGACACAAAAGCTTCTTCCGTTGTGCTGAGTGTTCAACAAACAAACTCAACAACTCATGAAGAATCCCTACAACCCTCTTCTCAGCTGCATCACTATTAGGATCTAAATGTGAAAAATCCTCCTAACGTGAAACATAAGAAAGTTTTTGAAACTCATTTAACCAACCTTCGATCTTCCTCTTTAACCTTAAACCCTTAGATGGAAAAATTGGAAACCTAATTCCTTCCATTGTCCCACCAAAATTCTCACCGTTTTTCATCGCATTTCTTTGCATTGTAGATAATACTTTTTCCCCCTCACTCTCAACAGCCAATCCTTTTAACTCATCTTCCATGTCCATAAACCTAAAAGACTCATCAAGATTCCCTTTTGAATCCTCCAGAAACCCTTCAGGCAACCCCAAATACCATTCCATTCCTTTGATAATCTTCAAAGGCAAAACCTTTACTCATTAAAATAAACCTTTTCAACCTATCCTTCAAATCCTCCTTGCATTCCTCAATTAACCTTTTCTCCTCTCTATCAATCTCAGCAGCTACTGGTGTCAACCTAAACCAAGGCAAATTGTATTCAGGACCTCTAAACTCCTCAAAAACTGAAGGGTATTGCCTTCGGAACCTAGCAATCTTAATGGAAATATCAAATTCTAAGCCTCTTTTTGATAGAGCAGAGATGGGGATACAACCATTGTGGTCTTTAGCAATGAAGTTTTTGAGTTGAATAATTGGCTTAAGCTCTATGGATTTATGGATGTGCACTATTGAGTCAAAGAATGGATCTTTCTTCCATTGCATGTACACATTCACATAGTTGTGATTTTGGGAGTACCGAAAAGGAGGTTTTTGGTGATTAAAAAGGGAAATGATTGAAAATTTGGAAATAAAGATTAGTTTTTTAAAGTGCGTTTTTGAGTTTGAATTCTGGAAAAACATGGGTTTTGGGCAGGTTGAGGGATTTTTCAAATTCTTACCAAGTTAAGGGAGAGCGGCTATGAGAGAGCCGAATAGCAAAGGTCAGGACTGGAGGGAGCGGTTGTTTACCGTTTTCGTGGACAATCTCAGCCTCAACCTTCCTTGGCAGTAGCTTGAGGGTATCTTTGAGGAGTATTGGAGAGTCATGGACACTTTCATAGCCAAGAAAGGCGGCGAGTCAGGGAGAAGAAGAAGCACTTTCGCGTTTGTTCGGTATCGCTTCAAAGATGAGGCAAGCAGTGCGGTCACGCTGGGAAAACTGAGGTTGGTGGACGGCCACAAGATCGTGGTTAAGAGGGCAGCGTTTGGTTGGAAGGCCAGAGAAGGAAATGGGTAGGTTCGGGCCCAAACAATAGGTTTGGAGGCCAGATTTGGTTTTAGGCCACTGGGAGTTATTGGTTCTTTCATGCTTTAAATGGGGTTTCAAGAACTTACAACCCAATTAAAATAGTCCATTGAATCTATCCAGCAAAGAAAGAGAAAGATTAAAGAATAATTCCAAGGTAATAAATGAGAGAGGCTGCATGCTAGAGGATTCTCTTATCTAAATCTGATTCCTAAAATATTTAAATAACAGAAGCCCCACAATACAAGGAACTTTCTGTTTTTTTTTCGAACGTTGTTTTACTCTTTTTTAAGTATTTCCAACATATGAATTTAGCAATGAACTGAGTGCGTTTTGCTCCTCTCTCACTCTCTTCTTCAAGGTAAGACTTGTTCTGTTTGTTGCGACTATGTGACTTACAGCATTTGAATCTTTTTCTTAGAGCGCAAGATAATTGATTCTGAGTGCTAGAATTTTCATAGCCATCGTTATTTTCTGCTTACATAAGCATATGTAACTATCTTACACAGAGGATCAGGAAGTTTTGCTACTTCGTGTTCCTGTCTGGGCATATTTGTTGTTCAGAACCAGACTCCATCAAACAATTTGTTTAAGAGTCTTACAATCTAATGATTTTGTTCTTTCTATGACCAGGGGAAGCTTTTGCATTTTGTTTTGTTATTGCAATCAGTAAAACAGGTGAATGCATAGTTGCTGTTTTTATGAATATTATCCTAGACCTATTTTAGCATGAATTGGCCTAACGTGATCAAAATGGTCAATAAACCTGGTTTGGCAGGGTTAGAAACAGATCATTTCAGTTTACTCACAAAGGGAAACCATCAAGAGGACTCCTGCATTTGCCACTCCTTGGCCTACAACTGACTGTTTTTTCTAGTTTTCTCAGAAAAGCTGAAACAACAGAAAATGACTGAAAGGCGACACAAAGATACATCATCCTGGTAATCAATCCTCGCTCTTGTCATCTCTATTTTCTTCTACACTTTGGTCCTTCTTTTCTGTCTGATTACATTTATGGTTTTCTGAATTCTGACTTCTTTCTGATCTCAGGATGTCTAAGCCTGCATCTTCAACAGAATTAGAGGCTCATCGAGGGAGTGTTCCTTTTACTTTAGACAAAGTGAGAAACATTCCAAAAACCTCTTCATTTCATTCGTAATTTCTCCCTTATTATTGCAGTTTTTCCTTATAGAGTATCTGTTCGTTATCATCTAGGAACTTCTGGCCTCAAAATCAGCTAAAGTAGCTGTCTTACTTAAGGAGAATTCCCATGAAAGTCTCTCTTACTTACTCCGGGACATTCCAGCTGATGCAGAGACTTTTGAACTTGTTGCAAGATTCTGCCATGGATATGAAGTACACATGTCCACTGAAAATATTGTACCACTCATTTGCCTGTCTTTCTACTTAGGGATGGACGAAAATCACAGCAATAACAATCTATTAAGCAAAGCTGTCACCTTCTTTGAACAAAGAGTCCTTCCTAGTTGGAATGAAGTCATCAAGGCTTTGCACGTGTCTGAAAAATTCCTTCAACAAACAATGCAGCTGGGTTTATTTGATGCCTGCTTACAGACTATGATTGCGAAGGCATCGGACAATCCCCGACTTCTTGGCGAACCCATAAAGCTTTCAGCGAACTATGATGATACTGAAGATGGTGATGACAGTTATAGGCCAAATGCAAGGAGAAGGCTCTTTGCTCTTGACTGGCAAGAGGGTTTGACAACATTGCCACTCCAACTATATGAACCTATCATTTATGCAATGAATCAGCATGAAATCCCACCAGAGTACATTTCTGCATCTATTTATCAATATGCAAAGAAGTGGATCTTTTCCTGTAACACTGGAGGGGAGACTACTTCAATTTACAAGAGGAAATCTCAAAGAAACATCATTGAAACGTTGGAGAGACTTTTGCCTCATGGAAGAGAACTCCTTCCTTGCGCATTGTTGTTTGAAATACTCCACAGTGCAATTGGCTTGGAAGCTAGCTCTGCTTGTAGAAATGGTCTTGAGATTAGGATCGGAAAGCAACTGGACCAGGCAAAAGTGAAGGACCTATTAATCCCTTCTCAAGGCTATGCCAAGGAGGTGCAATATGATATTGAGTATATAAGGAGGATTTTGAAAATTTTCTATGGAAATTACAAGAGCTCTGATGTTTCCGGGTTAATCATTGTGGCAGAACTTGTAGAAGAATTCTTGGCAGAAATTGCTGGTGACACAGAGTTAATGATAGACACTTTCATTTCACTAGCAGAGATGTCCATGGCAGCAGCATTAGGAATACAGAGAAACTCTGATGGAATATACCGGGCTATTGACATATACTTGGACAAGCACACTTACCTTACAGAGAAGGAGAAGGAACATGTTTGCAGGGTGTTGGATTTTCGAAAATTGTCTCCTGAAGCTTGTGAACATGCAGCCAAAAATGAACGACTGCCTGTGAGAGTAGTAGTGCAGGTGCTTTTTATGGCACAGTTGCAGCTGCGAGACACATTAACAAAGGAGGTGCAGGGTTTTGATGACAAATTGGGAAAAGAAGAAGAGGAGGAAGAAGCAAACATGAGTTACAGGGAGGATAAAGTAAGAATGGAAATGGAAAAAATGAGCATCAAGGTGAAGGAGCTAGAGAAGGAGTGCAATGTAATGAAGAAAGAAATCACAAGCAGCAACAGCAGGCAAAAAGTGAAAAAGGGAAAGGTGAACATGTGGAAAGAAATGAAGAGGAAGTTTGGATGCATGAGTAGCATGAATGACTTTCATTGCCAGGTCAAGAAGAAGAAGGTGCATCCAAAATTGGGCATATGATCTTCTGATATATTTTCAGTTCCTTTGTATTTGAAGTTTCATATTTCCTGCTCAATTTTCCAAGGTATACCGGTTAATATTCAGATTGTTTTACTGGAGGCCTTGAAGCAATACGGCACCTAAGTGGTAGTCTGGCAACTATTTCCTTCAATAATTACCAAGTTTACTGCTTCTGTTCGAGTAAGTCAGCTGGGAAACATAATTTTATAGCAGTAGGTCAACATAAAGCCTGAACTTCAGTCACAAGGCCAAAACCACTTCTGAATATCAAATGGCCAGAACATGAAGTTGATTGATTCTGGGTCTGCTGCCTAGTTAAAGCAAGTTTAGAACTCGTATTTAACATTTTCTTTTTTTTTTTTTTCTATTTCAGTTAACATAAAAGACGTTCATTTTATATTGAAGAGTGTAACTAATAATACTTACTGTTGCATCCCTCATTTCCTTTGTGCAGCTAACTTTTTAATCTCATCTTTATTACAAATGACAGATTTTTTGCCTATATACCTGTCAGAATTGAGAAATTATTATAAACAATCTAAACAGAGGAAGATAGGTGTTATAAGGAGGGAAAGTAATGAGAACAGCTAACAACTTAGTTTTTGGTAAAATTCGATTACCAGACTTATGTTGATGTCTTGGTTACTTGTTTTCCAAGTTCCACCTTATGGGATACAATTTAATGCTTCCATTAGATCAATTCTTGTTGCTGCATGTGATTTGCTTTTCATTCTAAGCTGCAAATCAAACATCTTGAGCACTATGCAATGAAAAGGGGGGAAAAGAGGAATATCAAAAAGGAAAGCTGACAAGAATCAGGTAGAGATTAATATTAGTACCTGCAATTTTAAAATGCTTCATTGTACATTTTCATCTGCATAAACTTTATAGCTTAATTAAAGTCAAGGTTCACAGGTTTTCATATCTTCCGGAGGTCTCCCAACTTTTCTGTATAGATTCACTACTTCCTTTGCTTGTTGAATAGCCTTTATTAAAACCTGGAATTGCAGAAGGTTTTCTTTGTGGAAAAAGCTGAGAAATGATTCAAGGCAAGGAACAAGTGCAACTGGTAAACAAATATCTTTTGAATCTTCAGTGTACATCTACAGATGAAGGAAAATGTCATGCAACCAGAAATGAAGAACTAATTTCATTAAAATTTGATACCTATAGCATCTACAGCACTGAGAAAAATAAGCATGATAAAGAAAAAAATGTTTTTGCAGAACAAATCTCGCATCTTTGGGATTCCGATTCCCATAATATCACATCATAACATCTTGCAAAAAGTCTTCTCATGGAAGGATGGGTGCAAACTCTGTGTGAAAAGTAGGTATCTCTACCAACTTCTTAGCCCCAGTATCATGTTTCCATTATGCATGGCCATATGGTTTTCAACAAGTAGTACATATTAGCCCTCTCCCCTCCAGCATCTAAGGTCATTCCTCTATGAAACTCACCTCTCACAGGTAAAGTGGAAGAACAAGATGGAATTAGGGGTCTTAATACATGAACCCTAAGGTTATAAATATACTGACAAAAGAAAAAAAAAATAACCTCAGGATGAAACTGTTACGATTAGTGGTGTCTCCCCTTTCCTAGATGCAGCTGACACATAATCCTTATCCGATGCAGTGTTATCCTCAGAATGTTCTTTACCTTCCTGTTCTGTTTCAGAATACCCTTTTGCACCTTCACGCGGATTTTCATCACCATTGTCATTCTGATGGTTCTTGGCACTTCCCATCACAATAACCTCTCCGAAATGAACATGACGATGATCACCATTAGGCGATCTCAATGGCGAATCTTCGTATTCCGATGAATTCATTGATCTGGCTGCAGGTCCTGGAGCTGCATAAGTCTGTGTTTTTGCTGAACTGATATGTGCCCTGTTAACATTTCCTCCACCGTTTTGACAACAGCTATATGCACAACACCTGTATACATAAGCACCAATCCAAAAGATCCAGGGAATGCCTACGAGAATGATCCCTGCAACTGGATACCAGGGTGCAGATTCCTCTTCAGGCCGGAACATGTAAAGGCATAGGAATACGCCGCCTGCAACAATGCAGGCAAAGAAAAGGGTTGAGACAATATAGATTCTGACATCTCCTTGTTTCCTTCCTTCCATTGAATATTGTAGAAATGATGATGATGTTTACACTAGATTTTATGGTGGATGAGATTATTACTTCTGATTCTCTCTTATTTGTTCATATGATTTGTTGGAGCTTAGAGCCGAAGAATGAGGAATTCTGGGGATCCCATGAAGATGGAAAGGTTGAAAACAAATTGAAAGAAACAAAGCGTTGAAAGCGGAGTCGTTTGTTTTTGTCAGTCTTTTTGACTGTGTGAGAGGGCAATCAACTTAGTGGAAAAAACAACCCAAACAAACAAATTAAGAGGGGGAAGCAATGCATTACATTTATAGACTATATAGAGATTAATTTAGAATATATACTTATATATATATATATTTATTAAACAATTAAATTCCGACAAGAGAAAGTTGCACTACATCAATTGGTCCTCTATTTGTAAGTTCAAGAGCCAAAGGGGATTGGGGATAATGGACCTCGTGCTTAAAAATCGTGCTCTATTAAACAAGTGGCTATGGAGGCATGCAAATGAGCCTAACAATCTATGGCGCAAGGTTATCTCGGCAAAAAATAAACTTGATCCAGGTTGTATGTTACCTTCTAGCAAACCCCACAGACCCTCCCTTCTTTGGAATCAAATTTTTAAATCCCTCTAATCCTCCGATAGGTACCATGACTTAGTTACTAAGAACTTTGGTTATCTACTTGGTCAAGGAGATACAATCTCCTTTTGGAATGATCTTTGGTTTGGTGATGCTCCTCTCTCAACATTATTCTCACGCATTTATACTCTAGCAATAGATAAAAAGGCCACCATTGTCAAACTAAGAAAATGAGTTGATCACAGATGGAGCTGGGATGTTATTATGAGAAAGCAACTTTTTAACTGGGAGATGGATTAATGGGAAGATTTCAAAGCTTTCATTAGCAACCACATCCAATTGATAGAGATAGAGTGGTATGGAAGGAGACCACAAGTAGCTCCCATTCTTCGTTCTCTTTTTGCAAAGCATTCCACAACATTCCTCAGTCTTCTAACAGTCTCCGGAATAATGTTTGGACAGGCAATGCACCACCTAAGGTGAAAACATTTTGCTGGCAAGTATTGAAAGGTAAAATGGGTGCCAAATCCATTTTAATGGAAATAAGACTTATGACCAATGAGGAAGCCAAATGTACCTTCTGCAACTCTCATCTTGAGACCCCTTTCCACCTTTTTTTCGATTGCATGACTGCATGGGAATCACGGTCCTCTTGCTGTCTTTAAGTGGGACATTAGTTGGGTTTCTCCTGATGACATCGTCTCTTTCTTTAATTCTTGGGTTCATCACCCTATCTCTTCCAATGTGAAGAACGTTTGGAAATTGCTGTTCTTTGCAACTTATGGACCTTATGATTATGAATAAATGAGACCATTTTTAGAGGTAAGAAGTTTGACGTCAAGCAAATTGTAGACATGACCTTGCTTAGACTCTCTTTATGGGTCAAAGGGAAATGGCAAATGAGGCACATCCCCACTGACCTCTGTATGCTTAACCCTAATCTTCTTTCTACCAGCTACAAACACCAAAAGCACAAGGTAAGCACCAGCTCACCTCCACCACAAGGGTATCTCAAACTAAATACTGATGGAGTGGCAAAAGGCAAACCTTACCCTGCTAGCATAAGAGGGGTTCTCAGGGATCACCTTGGCTATATAACAGGTACCGCACATTAGCACGGAGGAATCAAATTGCACAGAATTCAAAAGTACTCAAGAAGGAGTTAATTTCTTTCTCTCTTCCCCTTGGGCTGCTACCCACCGCCTTGAAGTTGAATGTGATTCTTCCAATGTCGTTAGCTGGATCAAAGGCCAGAATAAAGTTCCATGGCGCATGAAAATTATTTCAAATGCTATTGAGTCTTGCTTACGTAGCTGCATTGGGATATCCTTCTCTCACATCCTAAGGGAAGCCAATTCAATGGCAGACGGCCTTACAAAAGTCAGGGTTTTGAGAACCTCCAACTTCGAAGCTTACTTTGATATCTGCCAAGGAAGAACACACCAAGATTCTACTGCTCTTGACTAATCGCAACGAATTTGAACGTGATCTGAGATTCTTAATGCTGTCAATGCTCATGAGACGAAAGTTATTCCCTTCTGCAAGTTAAAATGATTTGTCTTTGTCCTTTTCACTTAGGTTTTGTGGCTTATGAAGATTCTCTAACCTTGTTGCCTGTTCTCCCTTTGAGGACACCTTTATTTTCCAGCAAGTCTTTTGACTTTGCTCCGATTAATCATTGTTTAAGACAAATTCAGCAATAAAATTCTAACCTTTAAAAAAAAGAAAAAATCCTTTGCGTTGGGTCAAGGTGCTGGCAACTTTGACCCCAAGAAGTACCCTGCCAAGTTCAATCTTGTAGACCCTACAGAGTGGAACACGGTGGGTGTGCCATCTGCTGGGTCCGTCGCCACTCTTCCTTGCAGACAATCCTGGCGTTTGGTTTATGCACCGCCATCTGGAAGTACGCACTAGCTGGGGCTTAAAGATGGCATGGTTGTCAACGATGGAAAGGGTCGCAAACAGAAGCCACTACCTCCACCTGCAGATCTTCCTAAATGCTGAAATCCAATTGTTTCTCCTTTTTTCTTTCCAATATTACAATTTTACGGCCAGGAGAATAATTGCTAGGCTCTCCATAGCTTAATCTTGGTTTTGGGTCTACGTTTACTTGAGTACCAACACCTGAAAATGAACTGGTGCGGCTATTTTATAGGTAATAATCAAGCTATGTATTACCAAAAGAACTAATAATATGTGGCAGCATCTTCATAAACTTTATTAAGAACCTTGCTGGTTATGTAATATGAAGAAAATTTGTATTTATTACTAGGACAATTTATGATAGCTGATTGCACAAAGCTATTATTTGAGAAGAGAATATCAAACAAGAACCTTATTATTATTCAACTGATTCTTGGATTTCAACAGCTATGCAGTGCAAATAATCATCCCTGCATCCAACAAAAATCCTGCCCCCCATCATTACAGGTGAAGAAAACAGATCCCCTTCTAGCTTAAGCCTTACAAATTCCTGCACCGTATATTTTCTTTTATAACTACCCTTTCCTTCATCCAAGCTTATTCTAAGCAAAAGTATGCTTCCCGAGCTAGTACAAACACAAACCAATCTGCAAAACATAGCAAAAGAACTTATTTAGAAAAATATAAATGTGCAATTATCTGACAAGCTCTCATGCAGTTTGTTTACCTGTCAACTGAAATGGTGGGGTTTGATATCAGCTGTAAGTTCTCATCAACATAAGCAGATGCAGTGATTGGATCTCCAACATTTATTTCCCAGAGTAGTTCACCTTTTTCCTGAAGTGAACTCCCATAGTGGTTAATGTCATGCAAAAAGATAAGCTGAGCTGAAGCAAAAGAGAATATATAAAATCTATTTAATTTTCAAACTATGCCTATGAATCAATTGATGCTGCCAACTTTTCTTCTTTTTTTTTTCAGCAACATATTTCTCAGTTTGAGCCTTTACAGATGATAAAAAGACAAGCAGAAAGCTCAAGATCTTTACTCCTTGCTCCTCTTCCCAAAACAAAATCCATCAATAATACCTTGTATAAAATTTAAAACAATAATATTATTTCATCCAACCCAAATTGTGCCTCATAAGTCATACCTGAAAATGGATTTTTAGGAGAAACCTTACTTTTAGGTTTTTGCATTAAAGTTTTAATAATTTACTTTAGATATTAAGATTTAATGGCTTTGTGGAAAGAAGTAATAAAACTATGTGAACCAATTCGAATATAAAAAAAGGTGAATTTGACACATCCCAATATCGAAGGTTAGACATTCAACTGGGATGAAGTATTGATTATCATTCCATTGGCCCTGCAGACTGATTTTTCGGGGACTAAGCAAGCATGAGGTTGAATTCTCGAGTCATTGTGGAAGAGCAAAACAAGTGGTGCTTTAACCAGAAAAGTAGTGGGCATGAAGTTGTGAAAACATTTAAATTTTCAGTATACACTCCAACCAAATCAATCCTCACACTCACCATTTCAAAGGAATAAACACTTCCGTTCCTGGAACAAATTAGCACCTGTAGGACAATTATGTAAACAGTCTCAGCCAAACCATAATTTTTCTACCAAGTTATGGTCTGTGCCAATTGAAAAATATAGTATAGATGTAACTGGAGAAAGCATAGACATTAAACAAAGTGAAATAAACTTAACTTCACTCCCAAACACTGAAACTAGTATCAGGCCACAGAATTTATACCGAGGACTCACCATCTAGACAATAAATATGCAATAAAGTTGGCTAGTTTTAATTTCAAATCCAAGAAAATGTATTACCTGCAAAGGAAGTGCATAAGATATGCAAGCTCCAGCAAATATTGGACCACCAGTTCTCCTCTGCATGATAAAATAATTAATAAGGAGAAAGATTCAAAAATATTTTTGAAGACAAAATAATCAACATGACTGAAAACAATAAAAGCAAAATCATTGTGCAAGAGAAAAGTCCACATCACATATATGCTGTGAGTTAGGAAGATATCCAGGAGTATTTTCTTTGGAAAACAGAACTGCATCTGTAATTAGTCACAACACTTTTGATTGTTTACAAATTTGATCGATATTGAAGGCATACCTTCCAAACAATGGATCCACTTGAATCCAAAGCAACAACATGCCCATCCACCAAGCAACAAATTACTACAAAGAAACAAGACCAATAAATTAAAAGCAGAAAAGGCAAAGACATGCTACAGAAAGATCAGTATCAGAAAGAGTATACACACATCATCAGAAAGAAAAAAAACCACAAAACACAGAAAAGTACCATATCCATGTCGTGGACTGATGGAAAGCGACCCAAATACTGGCACTTCCAGCTCATATGACCACAAAGTACAAAATGGCAACTCCTGCAATTATAGAGCATAGAACACCCACAAAAAGGAAAGAGATTCACCTTGTTGACTGTCAAATGATAAAGAGAGTAACTACCTATAAATTCGA